CATATCTCATAACAAACTACCTGACAAGACGTGTTGTTCTGTGATAATAAAATATTTAAACAGATGGAAAAGCAAGAATGCGATTAAACAAAACTAATTTCGATAATTATTATGAAACAAGTATTTTAATTTAATAAACATATATTTAAAATGTTTTCACGATGTTGGAAAGGCTTAGTGGCGGACATTGTTATTGGACAGCAATTTTCCAATGACAGGTAAAACTCGTGCTTATTCAATGGTCGCATGCACATTTACAGCTCAATAAAGAAGTGGAATTATTCTTTCTTGATTAAATGCGATGTATTTGTTCAGATAATGAGCGCCTATTAAGTATTTTATCCTGCTCTTTGTCCAAATAATTTAAGAAGTATTATGATTGAGAATATTGCTATTGTTACTAGTTGCTAGATCGATAAATGTTTAAAACTGAATGAAAAATTAAACTGGGTTAGAATAGGTTATGATTAAACTATTTTAATAAAATAAAAATCATAGACTTATAGATACACAAGGAATATCTGCGCTAGTCGTCCATAGTTCAAAAGTGATAGATAGAGTCAGTCAGCATCATCAACCAAGTGCGGATTGGCCCACCGAGGCACCGGAAAATCCCGATGACCCCTTTGGAAAAGTACGTAAAGAAAAAGACTAATGGTCTGTCAGCATAATAAAGAAATAATTATTTGTCTGTTGCTATAAGAATGACATTTAAATTAACATGTATGCTAACTCTACCAATAGTGATGTGCATTGAAAAGGATTTACCTCCAAATATCTTTATCTTCTATTTCATAAACAACTCCTCTGAGTTTTCAAAATTACTGATCGTATGAACTACGTGTGAGTAATGTTTTAACATTAAATTATAGATACCTCTTAAGTATGTATTATTGTTAATTTTTGTGATAGATTTGTGAGCATAGGCGTTCGAGGCGACATCCCCTCTATGCTCTAGCTTGCAATACATACGGCCATTCGGACAAAATATGGTGATTCGGCAAATGTTTACCTTCATTCGGGAAAAATTGGTAGCAGAAGTTTCTTACTCATAACCTCATTCGGGCAACAATTGTACAGCCTCCCTCGTACGTCTATGTCTGTGGGCCCTTTCAACCTTTTTTCCCGGTAAAATTGTAGTCCAGTCCGCCCATACCACACTCCACCAACTTTTTAGGTACTTTTTGACAACAAAAAGTGGGAATGATTGTCACATTATAACACTCCCACGAATGAAAGGTCGATCATTTTCGACGACGGGTTTCGATATCACGAACCATATACTGCGAATAGAGCGCCCTAACCACCAAGCAATGCTTGGCCGTGTAAGTGACACTTTATAAAACTTTCCATTCCCCCGTCAGCTGTCTCTTATTGGTGTCCCCCCAGTGGTTCAGCACTAAATAAGAGGATTTATAACACTAAAAATATGGCTTTGATACACACGAAGGCAAAACACAGATATTTCATATAGTATCTTTGTGCTTAACAACAAAGAAACAATAGTAACTGGTATTAATTTTTGCATAAATTCCATAGGTTGACATACGTTATCAAATAAAACAGCTAATGATATCTTTGATAGGTTGTTTATGTAGAGTATTCACAATGAATCTAAGTTTCAAATGGACAGCAACTACCTGTTGTATAAACCTACAAATGTAGTCCTCCACATCTGTAGGTTTCTACAACAGGCAGTTGCTGTCCATTTGAAACTTAGATTCAGTAAATAATATGTTGAAGATCGCTTTATTTTAACGATATGCCATTCTTTAGAAAGTAAAATTTATTTTTCCTGTTGTTTTTTAATTACAAACCAGAGATAAAATATTTTTCATTGAAACCCAGCTTGACGAATTACTGTCTAAACAAATACTATATCTGTGAATTTGTATCAGTGAGATCTTTGCCATGTTTTAATACATAATTTCATCCTTAAATTTCCATTAAACTTCTGATGAAAAGATTTTTCATTTACTCATGCTCAATTTTTTGAAAGGGAAGGAGAAATTTAGCTTCTTATAATTAGTTTTTCAGAAACTTTTACTTTTTATTTGAAATAGTAGTATGCAGTGACAAATAAGTATTTAAAGCTTTACTGGTACAAATAGACAAAATTGTTTTCATATAATTCTAGTAATAAAATTGTATATACGAGGAAGATATACATGTTAAATTAAAATTATTTTAAGAGTTTCATCACGTCGTTACAGTCTATGTTGCCACATCCTTTCATAATCTGACAACAGTATTTTGATAATAGCCCTGTAGCGTAGTTTCCATTCCAAATGACTCTTTGATCAGGCTGCCATGTCCAAAGCAAACCTCTTCATATTCAAGTGTAGGAGGAGGACGATTTCCCAGTATTTGTTTTAAAGTCCAGTAACACAGAAATTCATAAGCATTTCATATGACTTGACCAGTACAACTTCGTATGGAATCGCATTAAAACTTATTTCATCCTCCAGCTGCTAAGGAATGCTATGGTTAAATGGATATGCCGTCGAATCAGCTTGTGCACACATGACTTCTATTTTCCAGACAGAGGTCCTTCTTGATTATGTTACATACCGTTGCTTGGGTGGTTTCTGCCAATGACCTTTGTGCTCGTAAATTCTCACTTTGCTCACCAGAGTGGGATACGACTTGTTGAAGGTCTCTTTCTGTCAACCCAAAATGATCCATATTTCTTTTCCAAGGACTTTTGAGTCCAAATCCTGGAATTTATAAATCCTCGATTATGATCCTAGTATATAAATATTTTGCGTTGGAAAGGGCTGTTACATGCCCTTCTCAAAACCCAGTTTTTGGTGGCATTACACCACCTACCAAATGCCAAAATCTAGTCCCGATACATTTTGTACCATCGACTTCTATCGGCCGTGTTTTCACGTGACTTATTGTTTCGCATATTCGTAATCGTTTTAACAGAACATAATTTGTCTTCTATGTATGTGCTTTAATTAACGTAAGACTAGTGTTAGTTACAATAATTCTTGGAAAAATATAAGCCTTTTCATTAATCTTCGTATAAAAGAAGGATCAGTTACGTTACACAGAAATTTATTAATCATTTTCAAACATTTCCATTTATTTTGTAAAGAAAATTGCAATTGAAGTTCTAAATGTAAAAGATTTATAGAATTCTGATTCTAATTCAAATATCAGTTTGTCTGTTTGTAGTTAACAAAGTTACACAATGGGCTATCTTTGCTCTGTCCACTAAATGTATCGAAACCCGGTTTCTAGCGTTTTAAGTCGGCAGACATATCGCTGTAATACTGGGGATCAAAAAATATCAGAGAAATCATATCCTAACTAAACATTCGTTTTGTAGCTTTTTTGTTCTGATGAAATGTTCAAATTAGTTGCATCCGAAAGTTCGATTATAATAAACATTGCTATCTTAAACTTGTCATATTCGGCTTTATTAATTTCTGTGGGCCCGGTGGTCAGGGCGCTCGACTCGCAAATTCGAATTCCCGTCACCGAATATGCTCGTCATATATGGTTGCCGACTGAACCAGTTGCCCAGGTGTAAAAATTCTTGACTTAGAAAATACCGGCCAACCCTAACGTAGTTGGGACTAAGGTCGTGACGGGTAAAAAAAAACAAAAAACTGTTATATTTAGAAGAAAAACCGCAAATATATATGTAAAAGACTATTATTCTTTTGTACCGCACCCAGTCATCTCTCAATTTTTTAACAAATCGATAATGAAACCGTGTTTCGATGCTCATCATGTAACATCGCTTAACGGAGTGAAAAACGAAATTAGAACATTGTGCAAAAATGAAATTAAACTTATTGAACACATAACTCAACTTTATTCTTACTTAGTTACAAAAGTGCAAAGCATTACGTTTTGCCTACCGTTCAAATAAAATAACAAGTAATTTATCAATTTCAGTTTTACCAACATCGACTAACTACTTGTAAAGATAAAACGACTTTCGACTTGCATCGCTTGTCCTCGTCATATTAATTGAAGACAGTCGAAACATTGATAGTCGTAATCCTACACTGTTGAAATCTATGAAACTCCCCAGAATTCATACAAAATCACCGTAAATACTATAATAAAAGTATAATGTTGTTCAATTTTTGTTTGAGATCATTGTTAAGGTAATATTTTGTTTTGAAAAACTGTATTATAAACATGACAAGTATTATCATAAATTACTAACAATTGATATATTCAGGATTTGGTCGTTACAAGATTTAAAAATAAAAAATGAACCAAGAATTTTAACCCCATGGTGAATATCTAGGAAGGAACTCAGCCACCCCGCTCTAAATCAAGAGTTATTCGTTTAAATGTTATCCTTTCGGCTAAATGTGTATATATTTTTGTTAATTTGTCTTCATGATCTATCCAGTATTTTCCAAATGTACATAGCTTCAAATTTACAAATCTTACCAATCTCTCTCTTAATGGAATCAGTCACAATTTACTATTTATTCTTTAGTGTGACAAAGAATATTGTTGAAAGTAAGTTAAAACATTTTTATTAAACAAACCTTTCTAAGTATCATGAAAATTTCATAGATGATTCAACAACTTTTTCATTCACAATTATATTTTGCATATAACAACATCAGTGTAAAACTGAACTATGACACTTTGTAGTTTTACAGTATCTCAGTACATATATGAACATTTCATTCTGAAGTCACACCATAAGCTTATGTGTTACTGTGTAAGAGTATGATAAATACTAGAATAAATACCATACAAGAACAACGCTTTATCAGAAAGTTTATAAAAACCTCAATTAAATGAAATATGCAAAAACTTCGGTATTTTTTTACCAAGATAGGAATGAGCTCTAAATCAAATTATATATATATATACAATCATTGTTTCTAAAATTTAGTTTCTGATAGTAGATCTTTTGGATTTCGTTTTAATTCATTAATGGATCATGGAGACCAATTTCATCTTGAGTCAAACATACCATTTCAGTTGATGTACACAAATCATAATCTGCAGCTAGAGGGCAGAGGTTGTCTTCTCTGGAATCACCAACTGAAACATATGCACCAACATGGGATTCATCAGACAAATCCATGTCCCAGCTATAAAAAACATTACTGCCTATAACAAGGTCATTGGTTTGGTTCTCATCCACTGAAGTCACATCAAAATATTGTGAGTTAGAAGTCATACTGGTTTGGAAAAAGGTATCATCATTTTCTTTACTATCAGTTTCTAAAATTGGTGAGATGTCGATTTTATCATGGGTCTGAATGCCTTCAAAGTTATGGTTTACTATATGAACAGAGTCAGAAGAACTAACATCTTCAAAAAAACTTTTGTTTTTCTCAACACCTGAAACTTGACTCTCTGTCTCTGCTTTACAATCTTGAAAAATGAAATTATCTGTCAGCTCATCAACAAACAAATCCTTCTCATTAGCAGTGGAAAATGGAAAATCAGTTGAGTTCACACAACTGTTTAGCTCTGAGTTGGAACTAGACTGCTCTGACAAATTTTTCTGAACTGCATTAACAGATGAAAACTCATTAACAATGTCTGTATGGAACGTAATTGTTTCCTTCTGCTCTTCTGGCTTGTAAGTGTCTGTACAAATAACATCAGAATGTGATGTGCACATCAATTCTTGCAATGTAATGTTAGCAGTGCAATCAACTTTGTCTCTTAAAATTTCACACTGTGTGAGAGGTCTTTCACTGAAGTCTTTCAGTGGTATTTCAGTGCTAATATAGCTTGGATCATTTGTTGTAATTTTGTTTCCAGCTGATTTACTTTCCAAATCAATGAAAGAAAAGCACTCAACTTTTTCATTCTCCTTAGGGTCAGTGATACTAGATACCTCACCACATATTTCCAATCTATCATCTTGATTCTCCATAATTACAGGCTTAAGTTTGTCATCATTATGTAAGACATCATCATCATGAGAAGAATTTGCATGACCCAAAGCAATAACTGCTGTCTTGAGATCTTCTGTGTTTTGTACATCTGCTATAGAATTTTCCAACAATTTTTTTTCATTACCCTCATAATCATGAAAGTTCACAGTTGAATTTTCCAGATTGTTCTCTTTCTTTGCTGTTGTTGGTGGTTCTAACACAGATGAGCCTTCTTTTTGGCTCTTTTTGCTAGCAAAAAGCTCATCTGTAGTAGAGTTCATATTTATTTCTGTGTTGATCAAAGGAGTAATACTTTTATGAATAGGTTTAGAACATTCTAATTCTTTTGGTTTGTATGGTATAAGCTCTTCAAACATTGTATCACTCTCTAAAAATTCATCTCTTTTGCTTGTATTTTCTATAGAGTATTCAGATGTACAATCTATTCTATGAAATTTAAAAACTTGAGAGTCTTCAACTGTTCTTGCTATTGATTCTTTTGATAATGTACTATTTTCTGTTGGCGATGGAGCTTCAACATCTGTTGGTAATGTTTGAAAAATGTCTCTCTGTTCGTCCTGTGATTTTTTACATATTTCCATGTTAAATTGCTCATTTCTGGTAGAACAGGTTCCACTTGATGTCTCCTCATACGTGCTTTGCTTGGCTGATTGGAAATCTGTAATGTTTTCATTTTTATCATACTCCAAATCATGATTTATCACTTCAGATGTACAAGCAAGTGTTTTATCCTCCTTGATCTTTGTGGAAACATCTCTCTTTTCAACTACATTCAAATGTAATAAAAATTCCTCTTTAGAATGTTTGATACTAGAAGCAGGTGTGGAAGAAAACTTGTCTATATTTGCTTCTACACAATTATTTTCTAATAGACTGGTAAAGTTCTTATGCTGAATGGAAGATGTGTCTGGACAGATGAAGATCTGTTCTTTATTTTCATTTTCTACACTCCAAAGTTCTACCAAAGGTTCCATAAATGCTTTAACCATAAGGAAGTCCTGAAGTTGAAAGTGACTGTTAATATGATCTAGTAAACATGATGTCTGAGCAGTTGAGTAGTCACAATGTGGACAAGTAACTCCCTCTTGTGCACTGTGCTGTTTCTGGTGGACTTGGACAGCATCCTTACATTCATTTGTGTATGGACAACGATCACAACGAAAAATGCATTTTAGATTTTCTTTATCTACAATATCCATTGGAGATTCTATTGTTTCTTTTCTACAAGTTTCTTCAGCTTGCTTCCCAAAGGGTAAAGCTGGAGAAATAAAGGACTCTTGTACAACAAGAGGATTGTGTGATTGGATTTTCTCATGTACATTTCTGTGCTTATGTAGATTAGCTGCACATCTGACTGAGTAATCACATTTATTACAGGTGAATTTGGATTTCTTACCATGTAAGTTAACATGTCGTTCATAGCGGCTGTGCTTGGAAAATACAGCAGGACACTTGGGGCATTGATGAATGTTTTTCTTAGGCAAGTTTTGAGTTTTTCCAGGCTGTGAATGAAGGGGAGTATGACTTAACAGATTACAGGCTGTTGCTACAGTATAACTACAGTTGGTGCATTTATATGGCCCAGGCCCACCATGTAGCCCTAAATGAAAATTAAAAGTTGTTTGCTTCACAAATTTTGCAGGACAAAGTGGACAACCCAGAAGTTTTTGAGAAATCTTTTGACAAAGCCCTTGCAAGTAAGATTGTGTTTCAGCTTCTTCTAGCAGTAGCATCTGGTTGTTGATAGTACTTTCTTTAATGGTTATTTCACTGAGTTCATTTTTATCAGAAATGTGTTCATTTGTGTCATGTAGGTTATGAGTATTATCAGGTATATTAAGTGGGGGTGCATTTGATGCTTTTCGTTTGGCAGCATAAGCTGGAGTGTGCACTAAAAGATGTTTGTGTAAGTGTGGCTTATGTCTCGCTGTATAGTCACAACAAGGGCAGTGAAAGGAATGATTAACCCCATGAAAACTTTGATGAGTTTTAAGACCACCAATGCTTTTAAACATTGCTGGACAATTCATGCAGAAATAACTAAAATTTATTTTTTGACTACAAGAAGTTAATGAACGTTGTCCAGTCAACATGTTCAGTTCTTTTCTTTTAGTTTCTGGAACTTCTTTCTTTTGACTAGAGTCACTGTTGGATTCTGCATGTACAACACAGTTTTTTAATGCCTCTGTACCAATAGTAGTTTTTAAAAATGCATCAACTTCACTTTCCTGGTGTAATTTTAAATGTACTCCCAACACTCCCTGATTGTTACACTGATAGTTACAAAGAGGACAAGAAAATTTTGAAACTGTGCTTCTGTTATGCATTGACATGTGGAGCCGAACATTTACTCGACGACGATTTTTCATTGGACAATAACAGCATTTGTACGTCTTCACCAGAAAGTTTCCTTTTGTTGTTAATTCAAAAGGAATACCTCCTTCAATACCTTCCATGTTTGGTGTTTCCTCCTCTTTCTCTACCAATTTTGTACAAACTGTGTGAAGCTTCATGTGCTGTTTCAACAAATGTAGTCTGGTTGCCCAGTATGAACAAACTGTACATCTATGTGGGGCAGCTCTGTTTGGTCGATGGAACTGTTTGTGATGAAGAAACTGTTTCCTGTTGTCACTTCTATATGGACACTGACCACACATGAATTTTTTGAACAGTGCAGTAGATGCAAAAGATGGGTTGCTAGATAGGTTCCCAGTTGCTACACTGTCTTTTACAAGTTTCTCAGTATTACAACTTTTATTTTCATCTTCATTAACACAATTAAATGAAACATCTTTCCAATCTTCAACTCTGTTCTCGGCATAATGTGGTAACATTCTTTCACTAGCATCAGCTGAATGCTCTTCATGCAACTTCATATGTCTTACTAATGTTTTACGATATTTTACATAATATGGACAATGTAAGCACTTGAAAACTGCTTCTTTTCTTGGTTGATGTTGCTTTAGATGTGTTTTGATGTAAAACTGCTTTTCACAGGTATACGGACATATATCACACCTAAAACACTCAAGGGGATAGCAGTATTTCTTAACTTGTTTACTCTCTGTTGAGATACCTGTGAGGTAAAGAACATGATCTTTTAACTTAACACTAAAACATTCCTCCAAGTCTTGAAAATTTCCACCATGTTTGCTCTTTATATGCTTAAGAATTAAATGACGCCAATTAGATGTAAATTGACAAACGCGGCAACGATATGGTTTAACCCCAGCATGAACAGCCATATGACTTACAACAACTTTTATGTCACAATGTTTGAAGTTGCACAGATTACAATGATATGATTTGCTTTCATTCTTTGACTGAATTCCTCTAAAGTCAACTTCAAACATCACATTACCTGATTCTGAAGACTCAGCCCAATCTTTCAAAGAAACAGGACTGGGTTTTTGTTCCACCATTTCACTTTCAATGCCACAGGTTATTGCTTTAGTTTGTTTTTCTAAATCAGAACTTTCATTCCCATCCAAATCTCTTAGAATATCATTTACTGGGACATCAAGTACACTCTTTAGGTACTTTTGGCAATCAATCTTTCCTGTATCACAGGACAACAAACAAGTGGCATATTGATGCATTGAATCATGAGCAAACTTTATCTTAATATGTTTTGTGATTTCCTTTTGATCATTAGATTTATGACCACAAGCTGAACAAATAAATTCCTGTGTGTCATGATGTTTCACATAGTGAGTTTGAAATTTGGAATCCAAATGTGTTTCAAAGGAACACTGGTCACAACTGTATTTCTTAATAAATTTTCTTTGTTTAGAACAGCTACTGGTTGAATCACTTTGTCCATTTGCACTGATGGCTTTAAAATTAGTTTTCTGTGGCTCCAATTTTGGTAATATATCAGTGATTGCATCTTTACAAATACTTACATCAGTGGAAGTTAGTTCTTCACATTCTTCTTTGAATAACATAGTTTTATTGGCAACACTTAAGTCAAGTGGTAATTTTTGGTTATCACTCAAGTGTAACAAATGGAGATGTTTGTTCTCATCAGTCTGTGCTTTAGAAAAGTGTGACATTTTTTTCTTCACTGTTTTAGTTTTTGTATTCACTTTGCCAGTAGTCTTGTTTTCTTCATTCCCATTGGACATGTAACTACTCATAATAGGTTCAAAACATTTTAAGGCTTTAACTCTACTTTCTTGCTCATGTTTTTGTCTCAAAAATGACATTTGTGGTTTGTTTGGATGATATTTTTGTAGATGTCTTGTCAAATCTCCTTTCCACTTAGTCTGATAGTGACAGTAATAGCATGAAAAAGGTTTTTGCCCTGAATGAACACGAAAATGTTTCTCTAATTCTGACACCCACTTTGGTTTGTAGCCACAGACAGTACACGTTGGCACTGCCTTGCCAGTTCCGTTCTTCCTTTTTAATCTCTGTACAATACTTTTTGCTGCTTGCTCAGTAGTTCCATGCTCTCGTTTCATGTGACGAGTGAGATATGGAAGAAGATCAAAACCCAGTCCACAAGTTGGGCACGAGTATTTCTTTTTTGTTAAATGTCCCCTTTCGTGTCTTTTTATACGAGATGGACAAGCAGTAAAATTACAGAACCGACATTTGAATCTTTTTTGTAAGGTATTACTTTTCACAGCTTCCTTATGTAACTCATAGTTAAAAGTTGCCTTGGAAGATTTTTCAGAAATTTCATCATCATCATCACTTTTTGGATTAAAATCCTTATTAACAGACCTGGAGGTATGTTTTATATCATTGGAAAAGTTCATTTTTACCTGTTCGTTATACTGGCAATCCTCTTGTTTACACTGATGCACCAATAAGGACTGTTTAGTATGACTTGTAAAAGAGCATGTATTACATTTAAAAGTCCCTTCTAAGCCATGATTTTTTACATGACGATCAAGATTCCATTTGTATGTTGTTTGAAAATTACAAAATTTGCATTTTATTTTTGGCATGGAATGGAATTTGCAATGTCTGGTGTATTTTGCTCTCTCACTAGTGACATAACTACACTTTAAGCAACGGAAGAATTTTTTCTTCAACTGAGACATGTTTTTTGTTTTCAAGTTATTCTTCAAGCATTCAAAATCCTTCTTTTGGACTTTTTGTGTTTTGGTATTCAATGTAGAACCTGCTTCCATATCAGCACATCCTGTGGCAATGTTTTTGTGTTCCCTCGATTCCTGTGTTAAAGTATGTGGAATAAGCATATTATTAGATTTTACAGCATTTTTTTTTAATGATGTAGAACATGATTCAGCATTAGTTAGTTTTTTTCTAGCGGTCTGAATGCCTTTTACAGCTTTTTGTCCACCTGGAGTAATGTGCTTGACCTGATTTAAATTTGTATCTTTAACAAGCATTTTTTTGTGTACCATACCACAGTGTCTCTGTAACTTTTGAAAGTTTTTTGAAGCATACAAACAGTATGGACATTCATACACAGTTATTCTTTCCAAGTGAACCTCTTGACAATGGTATAAGAATTTTCTGGGATTTATAGTAACAAGATCACATTGCTGACATCTGTAAACTCTTCGAACCCGAAGATAACCTTCTGATGGAAAAAGTTTGGTTGATTTCTTGCCATATTTTTCAGTGGATTTTACCATATATTGGGAATCTGTAGTAGATGAGTTTTTAAGAGTCTTTCCAACATGTGTTGGTAACTGACTGGAACTGATTTGTTTGTCATAAAAACCACTTTCCTGTGGCATTTGTGTTGAATTTTTTTGTTGTACCTTTTTCTTTCCTCCTACCTGTTTTTCTAAAACCTGAGGAGACACGCCTGCTTGAATTCCATGAATAGTTCGCTTGTGCCTGCGAAGGTTAGCTTGGTACTGGGTTATAAATGGACACACTGGGCACCTGAACACTTCAGCTGCATGATGATAAGCAGTGTGTTGAAGAAGCATGGCTCGGGTTTCTGCTATGTGATCACAGGTATCACAAAGATATTGGTACCTGTTCATGTTGCTGGAAGTATTATTAACACCTTCTTAGCAAAATATATAGTAGTCAATATTACATCTACAATTTTCTGTAGTAAGAAGAAACACTATCAAGTCAGCAAGGTGCAAGTCCATTCCCTTGAACCAACTGCTTCAACTGCATCAAACTCCTGAAAGACAGTATAATCTCTAGTAAATTTTCATAAGCTTTATTAAAACTGCTTTTATTTATCACTGTGATTAAAGTTCTTTTTCTTCCTATCCTAACTTAAAAAAAATTGTTTTATGTCAGAAACAGTGATACAAAGTAACACAAAAGATAAAAGATTGAAATAGACATGTAATTTAAATAAAGCAAAAAAAAACCATTTCACAATTTTTGTAATATAAAGTGAGGAATTCTAAAAAAAAGGTAGAAGATTTTAAAATATGAGTCTGTAGGCCACATTTGGAGTATTGTGTTCAGCCTTGGGATCCTTACCTTAAGACAGGCCTCTAAAATCCTGGGCAACAGGTTGCCATGGCACCAAAAATTTCTTCATGGTGCCTAGTATTTTCCCCCATTTTATTTGTGTGTAAGGCTGTGCTAAATAGAACTCAAATCTAGAACAGTTCTGAACTCTTGAAAGTCTGGAACTATTTTCTCATTCTTTGAGTCCTAAATCAAACTTTGTTTCTAGGATTTTAATGGCGGATTCAGCACTTCATGTTTTTTCAAGAATGAAGAGCAACAGTTGCACAACACGAAACTAATTTCACGCATTTTGATTTTCTTTTTTCTCTCAATTCAACCAATCAGTACGCGTGTTTAGATTCAGATGGGACCAAAGGCAGTTAGTTCAGGCAATACTATCAAGTGGTTGTTGATATCATGTGATCATTAGCATGCATTCGTTGCTGTGAAAGTAAATGAATATACGTAGCCTCCCATTTCCCAGTACAAACAGCAGTGAAGTTAGATTACACACACCTGGCTCCGAGATCCGAAAATATTTGTTGAGGCCTGTCTTAAAAAGGACATTAAATTGTTAAAAAGGGTTCAAAGGAGGGCAACTAGAATAGTACCTGGGATGGAGGGGTTGTCATACAAGGAGAGGTTAAGATCTCTGAAATTTTCTCTTGAAAAAAGAAGAGTTAGAGGGGATCTAATTGAGGTGTTTAAGATTGTTAAGGGAATTGACAGTATTGATGCATCATCTTTTTTCATACTTAACAGTGAGAATAGTAGGACTAGGGGACACAAATATAAATTTTGGCAGGGAAGGAGTTATCTTCAGCTAAGACTGTTTAAGTTTGCTAACAGGGTGGTTGGCCTTTGAAACAGGTTACCTTTAGATGTTGTGGAGGCAGTAAATTTAAGTGAGCTTAAGAGAAACCTTGATAATTATATGAATGATAGAAGCTGGCTTTGAGGTTTGTTTGTTATTTTAATTTTTTTTAATAGTTTTAGTTTAGTTTAGAGAATGGAACAGCCTGGATGGACCATAGGTCCCTTGTTATTCATAAACATTATGTTATGTCATATACATGTATATAAATTTTTTTGCATACTTATTCAAATTAAAGATTACTTGTTTTCTGATACAAATGAATTTCATTTTCTTTCATAGCATCCCTACTTATCTTAGCATCATTAATTTAGTAAAATAGTTCAACTAACGAACTTTACGTCTAACATTTTTCAATACATACTGCCTTGATAGAGAACATTGATGACTTCAGTGTTGATTTTCAAAGTAAAAGCATTTCTTGGGTAGGTTTCATTCTCCAAAAATCTTGATAGGTAAAGCTTTGTGGTAGCTATGAAGATTAATCCCTGTCAGAAATTTAAAAGAGATATGATAAATAGTAAATATTCCTGGAGTTGTCAAAAAAACAACAACAATAACTTACAACCAAATATCAACTTGTTCCATGACACTAGCTTTTAAATGGATTTGTTTATCATAACCATTTCTCATAAGACAGCCACAATACATATGTTATATATTACAATAGAAAAAGTTATGCTAATACAATAAAAAAATTTTAAGAAGCACGTTTCATACATCTTGTCTTTCTAATAATAAGAGTCTGTTTTAATCCTACAAAAAACAATCACTGGGAATATTTACGACTTGTTTAACTACAAACTGAAACATAAGTACCTTTTTGCTTATTTATGTCGAAAATTATTACATAAATTCTTTTTTTTTCTCCTAAAAAATGCAAAACCATTATAACACTTTTCTTGTTTCAATCATTACACTCATAAATTTGTAGCCATTTGTGTTTATACAGTTTCTGTGTAATGTATTTTTCCTGATAACAATTATGAAACTATTATTTTTCTTTATTTGTGATATATTTGCTTGTTAAATTTCAGAGGATTAAAAATATAATTTATGACAAACTTCTATAATTCATGTTTCTGGCAGCTTGAGGTCCTTGAGTTTAATACATTAATTGTAAGAGCCTTAATGGCATTATAATATGCTTACTTTACAAATAAAGAACTTACTTGTCAGGATAAGAACATAAAGGCTTAAGAGCAAGCCAAATGAAATAACTGAAAAAGTAAGAAATTTAGTGTTCCATTTACTCTAGCATAATACAAATATCAGTAGATGTCAATGACCTTTGAAGAAATCTTGAATTAGCAAGGGAGTAACTTTACATGTCTCAACTTAATGATAATTTTCTGAATCTTGAACCCACTCTTATAAAGAATTATTTATTTAATAAAATATATCCACCCACTTTTGAAGAAGGGTCATCTAGCTAATCACTAGTCATAGTAAGTTCTCATTTTTTTCTAATTTATTTAACTATGCCACTATTTCCTAGTGTACAAACATATATGTTCTTTAAAAATACCTGGGTCCACCAAACTCTAGATTTTTCTTTTTCTGTCAATGCAAAAGCAGTTTAATAATTACTGAAAACTTGCTTTATAGCAATAGCTGTGTTTTTTGTTTCATATTGTTGTAAACTATATTTTAATGCTATAATTTTTTTTTGTTAGCTAGAGTGATCTTTGGGCCGTAATAATGATATTAAGATCAAATGGTTTAATAATATAAGCCTCTAAGTCTAAAGAGGTTATAATTTCATTATATAGGTCACTGGTTAGGTCACATTTGGAATATTGTATTCAATCTTGGGCTGCTTATCTTAGGAAAGACATTGAATTGTTAGAAAGGGTTCAGAGAAGGGTTACTAGGACGGTGCCTGGGATGGAGGGATTGTCATATGAGGAGAGGTTGAAATCTCTCAAATTGTTTTCTCTTGAAAAAAGAAGTTAGGGGGATATGATTGAGGTGTTTAAAATTGTAAAGGGAATTGATAGTGTTGATGCATCATCTTTTTTCATACTTAACAGTGAGAATAGTAAGACTAGGGGACACAAATATAAATTTTAGCAGGTGGGAGTCATCTTCAGCTAAGACAGTTTTATTTTTCTAACAGGATGGCTGGCCTTTGGAATGGGCTGCCTGCAGATGTTGTGGAGGCAGTAAATTTAAGTTAGTTTAAAAGAAAGCTAGGTAAGTATGTGAATGATAGGGCTGGCTTTAATATTTTTTAAACATTTATTTATTAATAATTTTAGTTTAATTAAGAGAATGGAACAGCCAAGATGGACTAATAGGTCCCATGTTGTCTCAAAACATTATGTTATGTTATCACTAAACCATCTGATCTTAACATCATTAAAGTCACAGCCCCTACCTAATAAACAAATTACAATATTAATATAAAACTTATGACAATATTAATGAGAGCTGAATCAAGTCTGACCACCCACCTATTATTTCTTAATATTCATTTACCCTAGGCAATTGCAAAATTTCTTCAGAGACTAAAATAGAGGTAAATATATGCCATTGCTGCAATTTATATTGTTTTAATATTCAAACTCAGGTTTAGAAAATGAAGGAATTTTTGAGAATGTAGTCAAAATGATGGAAAGGTAGCCAATAAGAAATCATATTTTTGTAAGATACTTGTCTGTATTTGTGTAACCCAGAAATAAATACACCAAACTTGTACTGAGCCTATGATATCCTCAACATATGTATTACCAGTGGCATGTTTTACAATGAAGAAGAGCTGGCAAAATAATTGAAATTAGTAAATCATGATGTATTTGTACTTTGATATGTCAGTGTCTTTATGGAACTCTTGAAATGCAATCACAGTAGAATTTTATTGTGGATACAATTAAGTTTGTAACCATTGTGCCCTGTATGTGAAAGCTACAAATATTCAAAAATCAATCTTGGCTAATACTTGGGACCATCATCTCACACCGGTCCTTTGTGACCATTGCTCTAAAAAATGAGCTGGCCATGCTTAAGATCCTTACTACTGACCATTACAATATCTTATGAAGAAGAAACAAAACACACCCTTGAGCTTATGGCAAGCAACACATTAGGCCAATAACAAAATATGTAATTCTCTTCCTGAGTTAACATTAACTTCTACCAACCTGTGTCAAATATCAAACTGATGAGATAATTATGTAACCCAAATGCTCTGTTTACTAAACTATCAGCTCAGATGGCCCTGAAGAACATGATGACAACTATTTCTGCTGCAATATATATAAAACCATGAACTCTGAAGACTTAAACAGTAGTTAAAATTGCATACAAGTTACTTTTAAATGAGCTTGACCACTTATTCTTTTAATAAAAACTACATATGGTTCTATTTTGAAATTGTTAGGATAGATTTCCTGCACATATTCTGTATGTAGCCAATAACATATCTAAAAACATTTTCCAAACAGTATCAACACTTTACAAACAAATCTTTAAGCACCAAGACTTACTATAAAAATATACAAATCCTACTTCAATCTACTGATGTCTTTGTGCACAGCACAATGTTTTTTTTTAATTATTGAATCTTTATAATTTGGCAACTTTGACCATGTTTGCAATCACTCTGCCCTCCATTAACTCAGTGGTAAATCTGTGGGCTTATAATGCAAAAAAACTGTTTTACAATATCCATGGTGGGCATTACACAGATAGCACTTTGTGCTCAACTACAAACACACACACACACAAAGCATTTACCTGACAGTTTTAACAATTTGTTAACCGATTCACAAAGGTTAATGTATGCTACTGATATAAAAAGTGCCTTGAAAAAAAAAAGACAGTTAAAATTTTTATTAGAGAACAAGTATTCAAAAAAAAAAGATCAAATTATTTTATATATAATATGTCACTTATAATATTTTTTGTTTTTTGTAATTTTTAATTCCTTTAGCCATCTTTATCATGAAACAGCTGATGATTTTGAGGTTTTGGCAGAAGCCTTCATCAGCTTTAAATCCTTGTTTATTAACTTATTAACAGTATCAAAAGATACACCTAGCTTCATAATAATAGTATTTTGGATAGGAAGGTTCTCTTACACGATGATAGTCTTCACTTTTCAGATGAATGTATCGCACTGGACCAGCTTGGGGTTGGTTGTGGAGCCAACTGCTGTGCAAGTTTATCCACTTCCATGGTGAACATTCAAGGCTATTTTTATTCAAAAATAAAAATGTTCTGTTCCTTGGCTCTACATTATCTAATACCCTTTCTATATGAATATCCTTCCATAAGAAAGGCTGTGAGACATCCTCCATAGTAATACAATGTCCAATAGCCAGAAATTAACCCGATCGTGAATTAAATATACAAGTGTTAAATAACTGACCCCTTCTACCATAGCTTAAACCTGATTACTACTATGTTGTATCTCAGTTAGACTCATAAGGCCTGGTTCTGGGCAAAAGGCCTTGTTGACACTGGATATAGCAGATAATGTGGTTGACATATTATTACATTCTTCTTTACTTTCAGTCATAAGTTCTTAAATTTATCTCTCTCTCTCTCTTATAAAATGCCTTTAATCCCTGTATATGTTGAAACTTTAAAATGTCAATGCTGAACAATATAAGTATGGGTTGGTGAATTCTACTCAATAAACATAATCAATAGGTAAAGGCATCTTGAAGTAATTTACTTTTAAGGATGGGTACTAGACATTTTTGGATAGAAGTCATCATTCATATAAAGATATAAAGTAGTATAAGCTTTCCTAAAGCTTCTTTTTAATAGGTGTGGATTTTCTGAGAGCAGTGAAGAATTTAAAATGATGTAAATTAGGTATACAAAATGATTAGTTGATTAAAAAATTATCCATTAAAGTTCTGGTTGAAATGTCAAGTTAATAAAACAAGTATAACAATGTTAGAGGTGTAAATTTATGTTTTCCTTAGGATTTGGAATAGCTTAGTGAATAAAGTGTACGTTCTTCCAACATAGATTATTTAAAGAGCTTCACTATATATATATATATATATACGTCCTTCGTTAGTTACTTATAAATAAAAGTAAGTAGTTTATTTTATAGTATTAATACTTATTATGAGCTAGTAATTACAATACAAGTATTATTTTA